GAGGGAGAAAAAATGGATAGAAAATAATGATGGATAAACCAAGTTGGTGTTTAAGAGATATTACACACTCTTATCCTCACTTGGGGTTTGAATCTAAAATTTAATTAAGATATGACACACTTAATCAAATATCTAGAACCTAAAACTCACACTTAAGATAACCACTCTTAAGATATAGAATTAGGAATTTGGCTAAAATAGCATCACACTATTTTAATAATACTCAAAGAGTAAAAGGTTTTTTTCAATATTCAAAGATGATTCTGCATATTGCCCTAAGGCTACATTATATAGGGAGAGGGGAAGGGGAAAATAATACATAATGCAATGAATGTGAATATGAGGAAGCTTCTTAGCAACATCCACTTCCAAAGCATGGGGCATTCTTCATTCAAACCTGTCTCCTTAGTGGGATAAAATCAGAAATATGACACACTTATCCTCACTTGGGGTTTGAATCTAGAATTTAATTAAGATATGACACACTTAATCAAATATCTAGAACCTAAAACTCACACTTAAGATAACCACTCTTAAGATATAGAATTAGGAATGAAGAGAGTTTGTTGCTTCTCTACCAAAGTAATATAAAAACAATAACAATTGCCTATAAGCAAGATAAGAAGATGAAACACAAAAGCCCTTGGTGTGTGTGTTGAAAATATGAATATTAAAGTTTAAAACTTAAAAGAGAACAAAAAATTACGAACTTTGAAGCTTTGAGTAGACAAATGATCAAGAATGAGATTACAGAATGTAATGTATGTTGAAGGGTGTTGTTTTGTGTTTAGGAGAGGCTTAGGAGGTGTATTTATAGTGTTTAGGAAGTTTAAAATAGGTTTGAACTGTTAAAGAGACGTTGGGAGACAAATTAGGTTGATTGGGATTAATTAAATCAATCAGGAACAGTAACCCAACGGCTCCGGTACCTGTGACGGTAGTCAGGTACCGTAACGGTAGGGGGTACCGTTACTGACGTGATAGGTCCCGTTTGGAGGTTCAAACTTGAGTCTCCTAATCCTCAGGCGGTACCCGGGTACCGTTACAACGGTAGGGGGTACCGTTACAGTGGGTTTTGGCCTGTGCTAGGTATCAAATGTTCGGTAGCTACTAAAGGTTACGGTAAGGGGTACCGGCATAGTTCATTCCGGGCTGAGCCAAGCTTCAAACAGTCGGTACCTACCTTGTGCTACGGTAGGGGGTACCGGTTGAGTCCTTAGTCACTTAGCTATGATTTGGACGGGCGGTACCTACCTGATGTACCGTGTAGCCTAACGGTATCTAGGTACCGTTAGCACGGTAGGGGGTATCACCTGGTCTGGTTTTAATCCAAAATTGATTTTATTTCCGATTTTGAAAAATGACCCAATCCAAGCAATATTTATAACCTTTTGGAAAATATTTTTAAGTGCAAGGGCATAAGTGTAACATCATTTTATCAAGCTCTTACATTTTTCAAATCTAAACTCGAGTGAATCAATTCTTGGTGAAGTCAACCAAGTTAGGAGAGGTTCGGGTGTCTCGTTTAATCCTGCAAAAGGTTAGTACTTTGGAAGATTTATTTGGCACATCAAAACGTGGTGAGTTTCGGCATTCAAGGCCAACAGAAGTGATAATCGGTTATCGTCTCAATAATGCACAAACATGAAGTACACATAACACAATCATGTGTGCGGGGTGAAGGACATTTTGGCTTATAAAAAATGTTTTGGGCATGAAAATCAGACCAATGTGCTCCCCAATCATCAAATATAATTCAAATTCAAATTTGAATTCTAAGAGTTTATTTTTGGTGTAGAAAATGAGTCTCAAAAATATTTTGTGTGTCAAACGATGAACACGAAAATATTTGAATAAAATATTTTTGCTTTCCAAAAATATCTTTTAATATCAAAATAAATATTTTGATAAATGTTTGACACATCTTTTGTAACTGACTCAATAAATGTATTTTGAACAGTTAAAAGAATTTTTCAACTAACTTCAAAAATAAATATAATTTTTATTTTAACTCTCATAAAAATAATTTTGGAGAGAAGATAATTTTTGTCATCCTTAAAATATGTTCCTAGACTCAATAAAATAAAAGTCTTTAGAACTCTTCTACTCCTCCCGAATCCTCCATTAGGTGCTCCGAACGCGTCTCGGACTCCAATAGAATCTTGTGCACCTTCTGAATACTTCAATGTTTGTCAATTTTTATTTTAACTCTCATAAAAATAATTTTGGAGAGAAGATAATCTTTGTCATCCTTACAATATGTTCCTAGACTCAATAAAATAAAAGTCTTCGGAACTCTTCTACTCCTCCCGAGTCCTCCGTTACGCGCTCTGAACGCGTCTCGGACTCCAATAGAATCTTGTGCACCTTCTTGAATACTTCAAGGAATTTGCACTTCAATTCTTTGTGTTTGTCGATGTAGCACTTTAATCTTGACTTGAATAAATTGTGGTTGTCAATTATGAAAACCTGTGAGTCAACACTTAATAGCACGGAAAGGGTTGAACTCATGCATTCCAACAAAGTTTTGTTTCTATATAATTCATTTCATATGCATTAAAACATTAAAATAATTCTCTTGATATTGAGATACCCCTATTACGCAATATTCTACTTCGATCAAATAAAAAACCACCCACCAGGAGTTTCCATAATTTTTCCAAAACCATTTGTGGACGACTCATGGTATTTATCACTAATAAGATGACGAAAACCTTTCTTAGCTGATTCCCAAATCCTAATTTAGTAACCTCTGTTATACCTTCAATAAACTATTTATCGGTTAACAACCTAAATGCTTCACATACTTCTTAGAATGAGGTATGTTCCTTATGTAGAACATTCTTGATTGTCTTTAAGCTCTTATAACTTGTTTATTCTTGCTAGACAGCAATAGTGTTCTCAAGTAATGTAACTCTTGGTTTCTCTAGGCACATATTATAGCCTGCCTATTAGTGGTCTTTGTTGCTTCAGAATCATTTTCGCTCTTTGTGGCTATACATAAAATATTCTAGAAACTCTCTATACATGTCAAATTTTGTCCCGCATGGTACTGTGTATTGGCAATCATATAAGCTTCAAACATTGAAGCTTTATTAATATTTTCTTTGACAACATCTTTTAGCTTTTGTTGGTCTCTAAAAGTTACAAATTTTAGTCTTGGGAAATGGAAATTCAATCTCAATATTGATGGCCACCTGTGTTGTATATCAAAAGAGAGGATTCTCCTAGAGACTTCACATGCATATAGGTAATGACAATCATAGTACTTCTCTGTTTCATCATTCATCATATTATCAATAGTGTCAAATTTAGATTGGATAACTCGAAATATGACATTATCTGGACCTTTTTTTACATATTTAAAGAGATATTTGATTGAATTATATTTATTACAATATTCAATGTTGATGTGATCTTGATACCTCATCAAGATTTGTGGACTGTATGACACAACAAATCAATTATCCAACTCAATATTATTTCTCATTGTGGTGGCTCCCATATTTCTTTTTATGTATATCGGGTAGTCATTCTCATCAAACGATGTCTTATCAACAAAGTTCTTGAGAAAATATTTCATGGATTTATCATTGTCCATATATAGAGTTCTTAAAATCTAGGTTCTTGTTGTCAAGCTTCTACTCGTGACTTAAGTTCAGCTTGAGGAGAGATGTTATACAATAGTAATAATTATATCTATTATGGTAGTCTTTGTATTTTAGTCCGCTTTAATTTTTTATTCTTAGTCTTCCTAGTTGAGGTTGTACTCGCTTGTATATATACTCTTAGACATGTCGTGGTGCATATAAATTAATTCCTTTTTCTTATCCCTTTTTAATGTGAAACTTATATTTTATAGCTAGGGTAAGTAAGAGTGGATCCCACAAAGAAAGAAATTTCTTTATTTATAAGAAAATCAGATTACTTATGCCATTTTTTAGAAATAAAAACTACTCACTAAAAGAAACTAGCAAACTAATTGGGGGGTTTGAAAGGATAATTTTTAAAGAAAAAAAATAAATTTGGACAAATGAATATGGAAACACAACCATAGGAGTTGGCTCGGAACTTGGAAGAAAACACATAAGGAAAACAATAACACACAAGCCAACAAACACTTAAACTTTATAATAACTTAAACGATAATAATTGACTTAGATTGTTTTGAAAATACTTTTAGTTTATAAGGTAAAAAATAAATTTATCAAATCTAGACTCTTAAATTATTTAAGCCTAACTCTAAATTTAAACAGTTGACAGAACTTAGGGTTAACTTGAAGAAGAAATATACTTGCGGTTCTTCCCTATTTTCCCTAATATAGCCTATGTCAAGAAATAAAATGGTCAAGAAATTAAAAAAATAAAATAGGTTAAAAAATTGAACAATTTTTATATAAATAAAAAATAGAAATACTACGAGAAATATAAAATAAAACATGGAAAAATGTGAAATAAATAAGCGATAAAAATAATAAATTTTAATTTTTTTATTTTAGAAGATAGAATTTAATTTGAATGGAAGTAAGTAAGTATTAAATAAAAAATTAAAATGTAATCATTGTAGTGGAAGTGATGCACTACTTATGTGAAATGAAAGATCGAGATGATGAATGCAGTCCGTGTTGATGAGCGCTACAGATAGCCTAAGAGTTAAAAACATTGAGGATCTCACCTTGGTATATATTTTATGTTTGAATCTTATATAAATAGATTTTTTTTAGATTATTTATATCAAGGACTTAAAAGATTAGAAATATGAATGTTTTTTTTGAAACGGGAATGACTTTATGGGACGAAGGGAGTATTTAAATGTTTTTAAGTATTAATTATATATCACTAACTTTTAAATATATGAATTCAATACATCTAGATTTTTTTAGAAAATTCTTAATGAGTTTCTAAAATCTAAAATGAATATACTAAAAGTTTTTTTTTCTTTTAAAATATCTCAATTTTTTTATTGATTTAAAAATATCTTAATTACCTAAATTTTAGATTTCATAAGCTCTACAGAAATGTTAGTAATTCAATGAAGAATAAAAACAAATGCCTCATCCATATGAAAAGATTTCACGATTCATTATTAAAAAATTACGACAACTTTTTTGTATGTTTTTATTGACTTTTTTTTGTACGTTTTCATTGATTATTTGATAAAATAAAATATTTTAATCATAATTTTTTTCGAAAAACTTTTCAAATAATTTTTAAATATGTAAATTATTTTTTATTTTTATATTAATATATAAATAGTACGGAGTATAAATTAAAAAAACTTAAAATTTTATTACAATTTACATAAAATGACAATTTTTGGGAGGGAGGGAGTAATACATTTGAAAATTGAAACCTTTCTCTTTTTTCTTCTAAAACCCAAACCCTCGCTGCTAGGTAGTTTTTCTTTCCTCGACTGCTTGTGGCGGCGGGGTGATACAGGGATAGACGAACTAGTTCTCACTCTCTCTAGGGTTTCGCGGGCGATCTGTCTATCCATCCGGATATGGCTTCCGTTGCTGCTCCTGCTGAGCGTATCCTTGACCTTCTACGTCCTCGGTGTTCTTTCATTTTGTCATGTTTCTTCTTGGTCTTCTTTTTTATGTATCTAGTTTTGTCTTTGTTTCAAGTACGAGATTCTTGTGTAGAAGCCGTGGTCGTTCGGTTTTACGTTAAGATCTTTTCTCCCTGAACACGGAGATATTAAATTTTTTTCATTTTTATTTTCCCATGCGTTGTTTATCCGTGCTTCTCTTAAAAAAGTTTCTGTTTTTACTAAAAAAACATTCTTTCTTGTTTTTTTTCTGGGCGGGAAGGTATGATATCTGTTAATTCGAAATTCAGGATTTATTCTGGTTGGAATACATGGAAGGAATGAAGATCCGTGTGAATTATTCTCATCCTGGGTCTATTTGTTTTTCGGCCAGTGGATAAAAACCCATGGATTCCTTCACACTTGTCACTATAGAGACTGCAGGTTTGCTGCAGAAGCTGTCATTGGAATCAAAGCCAACTACTTTGGAAATTGCTGAGCCAATTAAGAAGGTGACATTAAACTGACTTGCAATAGGTCTATCTTTCAGTGCAAATCTTATAGTTATCAAATATTGATTTTGAGTCAAATCATCTCCATTTCTAGGCTTCCCGTGACGTGGCGGGTATGGCTAATGGTCAGACTAACTCTCATGAAAGGGCTTTGAGCCCTTTGTTACCAGATTTAATTGATCCATCGATGTGCTATCATCCAAATGGCTATCCATACACTGCATACTATGGAGGTATGTCAACAGTTTTGAAGTGGCCCATGCCTTAGGAATTCATCTTTCATTGAAAAGCTGGAATGCACCTATATATGCCTTCTATAAATCATTTCTTAATTGTTTTTTTCTGCTTTTTAGCATACAATGGGGCAGGAAGTGATTGGGAGAGCTATGCAAGATACCTTAATCAAGATGGAGTTGAGATGCCTGTATGTTTTTATAGTTCAGAATTTTTTGATCCCTACGTTCCATAAAAAGAGTCCAGGTTTATCAAGCTATAACTTTTTAGTTTTGAGTAAGGTACAACCATTATAGAACACTGAGATTAGCTTGTTGTGATTAAATAGGATTCTTTGTTGACACAAAAGTATGCCAAGGAACCGCATCCTTTTTTATGGGGCAGAGGGACTATTGACTTAGTTGCCTTAACATTTTCATGATAAAAGTGTTGGTAACATAACAGAGCTTAATGTGCTGTTTTAGCTAGCTTTTCTCTACATTGCTACATATGTTTGTTGCTGAATAGCTAAATTTTACTCCCTCCGTCCCAAAAAAGACTCCTATTTACAATTCACATGTCAAACTAACTCTACTTTCTTCATATATTTTAAACGATCATTTGATAAAATAAAATAACATTGTCACTTCATGTTTTGTTGGACTTTTGATGTGGTTTTTTTAATATACAATTTTTATTTTTAAATCTACACCAAATTTTACTTATATTGATTTTAAATTAATTTCAGCCAAACATCGTAAACCAAACAGAAACCTTATTTTGTGGAGTAAGCATGAGAATTCCTCCATTCTTTATTAACCGTCCATTTGTTTTTGCGTATCAAACTTGTTTTAGTGACAATATATTAAAAGATGAAAAAAATATAAACTTTATACCACAATTTTTTAATTGAAAAATACTTTTACTGCATTAATTTTTTTTTGCTAAAATATTTAAGAGATATTGTTGGTCAAAATTTTGACATGGAAAATGAAAAGGTCAAAGAATATAGAACTGAGGGAGTACTTGTTATGAGCTTTTGATTTGGATTTGTTTTGAAATCACAGGCTGTGTATAAGGACAATGGGACACTTATGTATCACAATGGGTATGGTTACACTACTTACCCCCCTTATTCACCTGCCACTTCACCTGTGCCAACAGCGGGGCAAGACAATCAGCTATATGGAGCTCAACAGTACCAGTATCCGACAACTTATTTTCAGCCTTTGACTTCAACAAGTGGTCCTTACCCTACTCCAACTGCCCCAGTTAAAGGTGATATACCAACGTCTGCAGTGGTTGATCAAGGAGCACCTTTGTCTGCAGCTTCTGCTAAAGGAAACCCTAATGCAAATGGCTATGCCGTTAAGAGCTCAAATGGTTCATATCTTGCGAGACCTTTATACCAGACCTCGCCCTTCAATGCAAGCAGTTCATTTGGAAGAGGTGCTTTGCCTGGAGGTTATTCTTCCGGATATCATGACCCAAGGTTTGGCTATGAAGGATTACAATCCCCTATCCCATGGTTTGATATGTCCTCATTTTCTGACGGGCAGTGTGTTATGCCAGTATCTACCACTTCTGGCACCAGCACAGGTTTTCATCGGTCAAGGAGCCCTGGCTTTCAGCCTCATGTCATGGTATTGTAGAAGTTTTTGTTCAAATTATTGTATGCGTTCTAATACTCATTTTTTGCACTTGCATCCTTAAAAAGATTGCCTAAGTTGGCAATGGGCATATTGCAATTGAATTTATTTTATTTGGTATCTGCTTTACCTTGTGTTTCAGGGATTGCACCATTTAAGGTCCATGTCTGGGATGAATGCAACAAATGGATATATCAACAGAGTGTATCCAAACAAATTGTATGGTCAGTATGGCAACACCTTTAGATCTGGGGTGAGTTATGGGTCTAATAGTTATGATTCACGCACTACTGGCCGCAGTTGGTTGTCTTCCAATTACAAGTTTAAGCCTAGGGATATTAGAGTAGTAGGAGGTTACAATGGTTATGCAAATGAGAATATGGATGGTCTGAATGAGCTTAACAGGGGACCAAGGGGTAAAGGTTCCAAAACTCAGAAGGGGTTTACGCCAGTTTCTCTAGCAGTGAAGGGTCAGAACATTCTGTTGACCCAAGAAAATGATGCTCTGAAAGAGATGTCATGTCCTGTTATGGACAGGGATCAATACAATTCTTCAGATTTTTCCGTGACATATGATGTTGCCAAGTTTTTCATTATAAAGTCTTACAGTGAGGATGATGTCCACAAGTCTGTCAAATATAGTGTCTGGGCAAGCACTCCCAATGGAAACAAGAAGCTGAATGAAGCATATCTGGAGGCTCAGCACAAGCCTGGTGGCTGCCCAGTGTTTCTCTTTTTCTCGGTGAGCATCTTTAGATCAAATTTCTGGAAGGTAGTTCAATTTTTATATCCATCTATATATTCTTAAATATATATCCAGGTTAATACCAGCGGGCAATTTGTTGGTGTTGCTGAGATGGTTGGGCCAGTTGATTTCAACAAAAGAGTTGAGTATTGGCAACAAGACAAGTGGATTGGCTGTTTCCCTGTAAAGTGGCACATTGTCAAGGATGTGCCCAACAGCTTGTTGAAGCACATAACCTTGGAATACAATGAGAACAAACCTGTGACTAACAGCAGGGATACACAGGAGGTACTTTTATACCTCAATCTGTTAGATTTTATAAAGCCAATTCCAACAACATTTTGACCAACTTATTATGTGTGTTTGTACAGGTTAAGTTGGAGCAAGGCCTTCAAGTACTAAAGATATTCAAGGATCATGCAATTAAACAGTGTATTCTTGATGATTTTGAGTTTTATGAGGATCGCCAAAAGAGAATTCAAGATAAGAGAGCTAAACTGTTCCAGAAACAGGTACTCTAAATGCTTTCCTCCAGAAAATTGTATCCAGGCGTAAGGGTATGTTTGATCATGGAAAATGCTAGGGAAGGCGGGAAATGCAAAGTATGTTTTACATATTTTTAGATTTCTCAGTTTGTACTTCCTTTGTCTGGATTTAGTTTTTTTTAAATGATATTTTTAAGAAATACATTTCAAATTTTAATTAAGTCCTTGACATCAGTGTCATTCATGAAACAATGCTCTTACCCTATTTCTAGGATATTTTAGACAATTCTTCATAAATTTTATTAAATATGGAAAATGAACATCTTGTGGACAAACAAAAACAATGAAGCATTGTTGTCAAGTTGCCGACTAGTCGTCCAGGCGTTTTTTGAATGGCGACTTGCACGTCGACTAGCAACTAGGCTAGACTAGGCGACTGGGTGGGTTAAGCGACGCCTAGACACGCCTAGGCAATGACTAGTCTATGAAGAAAACCTGCCCAGTATGAAGCAACCCAATTTGACCCAACCCGACCCAAATTTCATTAAACTTTAAAAATTACTTGATAAAACCCAACCTCCCTCGTTCAATCAGCACAATCAAAATCCAGTGAATTCACATTTAACTATTCCCAAATCGCGACATCTCTTTCATCGACATCTTCCAGAGTTTGCAGTTCCAGAATCAATTTTTTGGAATTGATTCTTCATCTTCTAGTACTCACACGCTCTCTATCCATAAGTAACATCTCTCTATCTTTAATTATTTATCATTAAAGTATACTCTTAATTCGGTTTTATTTTCTTTAATTTGGTTCATTAGACTATTAAAGTATATTATACTCTTAATTTTTCAGTTTTATTAATTTTTTAGTGACCTTATGTTCTACCTTTAAAAAACAACAACCCAGTTGAATCCCACTATAGTAGGGTCTTGGGAGGGTGTGTGTACGCAGACCTTGCCCCTACTCGAAAGTAGGGAGGCTGTGTTAGATTTCTGGGAGCATCCACGAAGACCTTCCGTAGGCCACCAAAGGAAAGGCGGATCGGGAAAATAAGGCCAAAGTGTGACAACGTTATTTGGGTTAAATTCACTACGTTGCCCTATCTCAAAGCCCAAACCGACACCGTGGTTGCCCTACACCCACCCTAGGCCGAACCAACACCCCACCCAACCTTGAACATCCAAAAACATTTCCTTTTTCAAAATAAAGTTTTCCTACTCTTATTTTAGCCCCTAGCCAAAAATAAGAATGTGTGAACCAAAACCTTTTGTTTGTTGTTATTTTCCTTCTTTTAAGCCTTTTCAATAAACAAATAAAACCCTCTCTCCTTCCTTTATTTCCTGGCCAATTAAACCCCACAATCCCAACATAAACACCCACAAAAGGCCAAAAACTTGACCCACCACTAGCCACTCATTCCTGCCCATGTTTCCCTCACAATAACCCAAACCCATATGTCCAAAACCACCCCTAATATTGCCCAGCCCTGTCCCCTTTTATTGGCCAAACACAACCCCTCATTTTTACACAAATAATAGCCTTAAAACCCAGGAAACAACCACTACAAACCAAACCTCAAAACCCCCACAACCCCAGCCCCATCCCTGAATTTTATTCCACTTTGGAGACATGATTCAATGGGTGTTACCCCATACTTTGGAAGTGGATGTTGCTAGGAAGTTTCCTAATGTCTACATTCAATGTATTGTGCTTTTCTCCCCCCCTTCCCCTCTCTCTATATAACTCAAGCCCTATGGCCATTGTAACATCATCTTTTGAATATTAAAACCTTTTACTCTTTGAGTATTATTAAAATAGTGTGATGCTATTTTAGCCAAATTCCTAATTCTATATCTTAAGAGTGGTTATCTTAAGTGAGAGTTTTAGGTTCTAGATATTTAAATAAATGTGTAATATCTTATTTGAATTCTAGATTCAAACCCCAAGTTAGGCTAAGAGTGTGTAATATCTCTTAAACACCAACTTGGTTTATCCATCCCTGGTTTTCTTCCATTTCATATTCCCTCATTTCTCTTCTTAACCTTACTCTTTTCTTCCATTAAAATACCAAAAGAACTCTTTCATCATCCCCATATATTTCCAGCCATCCCCCACACAAAACATCCTTCTCCCTGCCCAGATTTTCGCCTGACAGTCGATTATCATTTCACAACAATCGACTATCGCTACCCCCAGAAGTCCTGCAGTCACCATCAGTCGATTATCACCTTTCTGTTAGTCGACTACCTCACCCTTCAGGACTTTCTCGGCGTCTGCTGCAAAGCCCAATAATCAAGTATCAACTATTGATAGTCGACTATCTGGTCCCTCTGAATTCTTTTCGCCTAAACCAATCAACCAATAATCGATTATCACAATTGTGACAATCGACTATCTGGCATTCCTGAAGTTTAAAGGCTGTTCTAGTTTGCTACCAATTCCTTCGTAATCCCACCCTCAAATTATCTACATGATAAGACCCCGGGTTCAGGTATAACATCTGGTATCAAAGCTCTTTGTTCCTACATCCCAGAGGACCAAGACCACACTTCCACTCTTTCTCCTTTCCTTCATACTAGCTACTGCCCTACCTTCGTTCTTTCACTTCTTAGTTCAAAATATGTCTCACACCTCCCAAAACATCACCAAGGAAGATTTGGTTGCATCCAATGCCGAACTCAAAGCTCAAGTTGAGTATTTGGCCAAACAGGTGGCTCAACTTACCAAGTTGAAAATGAGCATGGTCCAAACTCCAGAGGAAAGCGAAGATGAGCAAGAAGATGATGTCGAATCAGCAGTTCCTTCTCCCACCATGAGAAGAAACAACCAAGAGAAGTCTTCCTCTGACTTCAAGGTTGAAATACCAACCTTTGATGGAAAAGATGACCCGGATGATTTCATCAAATGGTTAGAGACGATTGAACGCGTCTTTGATTATACCGAAGTGCTGGAGGACAAGAAGGTCAAGCTTGTGGCCTTAAAATTCAGAGGCTACGCATCTACGTGGTGGACTAACACTACCACCAAGCGCAAAAGAGAAGGCAAGGCTGCTGTTAAAACATGGACCAAGATGAGAGCTTTATTGAAGAAGAAGTTCATTCCCACTCATTATATAAGGGAAAACTTTGCTAGGCTTCAACACCAAAGGCAAGGAAATCGGTCCGTAGAAGAATACAACCGAGAGTTTGAAGAACTCTTGATGCGGTGTGATCTCCAAGAGAATGACTCACAAACCTTTGTGAGATATCTCTTTGGCCTAAACACCCAAATCGCCAACATCGTGGAGCTGCAAACCTTTGAGAGCCTTGAAGAGTTGACCAAGTTGGCACTTAAAGTGGAAGCCCAACTCAAGAAGGGCAAATCTTCTTTGAGTCGTGGCAATACTTCCTACCCATGTGCATCAAATTCCACCCCCCTTGTTGCCCAAAACCCCACAGCCCCCTCCCCTCAAAATCCTAAAACCGTGCACCCTATTTCCTCACTAAGTGCTCCTCCTCTTTCAAAACCGAGTTCATCAAATAGCCGAATACAAAAGTGCTTTCGTTGTCAAGGCATCGGTCACTATGCTAGTGACTGCCCAAACAAGAAGATCATGGCTATAGTCGAATATCAAGAAGAAGAAATGAATCCACTTTGGGTTCAAGGAGAGCTGAACAAAGAAGAAGAAATTGTCGGCCCCGATGAAGGTGAACTTTTGGTCATTCAACAGACCATTAGTGATGCGGCTGCCCTGGCTGATACCACACACCGAGAGAGTATTTTTCATACTCGATGCTCCATCAAAAATAAGGTGTGTTCGATGATCATCGATAGCGGAAGTAGTGCCAACGTTGTTACCAATTCCTCCGTAATCCCACCCTCAAATTATCTACATGATAAGACCCCGGGTTCGGCTATAACAGGTTGTTTCCAAGAGACCCCCGGCTCAACCTGCACAAAAATATGGAAGGGAACACAGTATAACACGGGTAAAGAGTCAAGTACAAGCAGTAGCAAAGGATTCCAAACAAACACAACATACTACAAACAACCTCTACAGCACCGAGCTCCTATCCAGCTACTCTAATCCTAGTTCTCCAAAGGTTCCTATCTAAGGTCATATCCTCAGTCAGGGTGAGGATTCCTAAATCCTGCCTAATCACCTCCCTCCAATTCTTCTTAGGTCTACCCCTTCCCCTACTTTCCCCAAAAACCGTAATCCTCTCGCATCTCCGTACAGGGCGTCAGCATCCCGCCGTCTCACATGATCAAACCATCTCAACCTCGCTTCCCGCAACTTATCTTCCACAGGCGCCATGCCCACCTGACGTCGGATAACTTCGTTCGAAATCCTATCCAACCTTGTCTTCCCACACATCCATCGTAATATCTGCATCTCCGCGCATGCAGACGACGCACATGAGTCTTCTTAACCGCCCAACACTCTGCCCCATATAACATAGCAGGTCTGACTACGGATCGATAGAACTTACCTTTCATCTTGGGCGAAATCTTCGGATCACACAACACCCCTGAAGCTAACCGCCATTTGGCCCAAGCCACTCCAACACGATGTCCAACATCCCCATCTAACTCCCCATCAGCCTGGATTACCGAGCCAAGATATCGGAACATGTCTACCTTAGGTACTAGGTGAGAGTCAATCCTAACTTTCACTTCTGATTCTGTTTCCCGGCCGCTGAAACGACATTCCATGTATTCAGTCTTGTTCTCACTAATTCTGAATCCTTTAGTCTCAAGGGCAAGGCGCCATAGTTCCAACTTATCGTTTAGTCCCTCATGTTCTACCTTTAAACATAATTTTATTTTGGTAATGATATTTTGTCATACAAATATATATAGTTATCTTGGGTGACTGAAGATATATATAATGTTAAAAGTTTCAATACTAATTGTGATTTGTAGACTAGTCTACGACTAGTAGGCCGACTAGTCGACTAGTCCACTAGTCTCCCCTTCACCGACTCGACTCGACTTGTCGACTTAACAACCATGCAATGAAGTGAACAAAATCTGGACAAACGAAAACAAGAAAAGAAAATAAATCTGGACAAACGAAAAGAAGGTGAACTAAATCGAGACAGGGAGATTATAATATAAATTAAATAAACAAATGAATGAATTCGGACAAAATGTCTAAAATTAATATACTCTATGTATTTTGAGTCAGTCTTATATTATCCCCTTGAATATTTTCCTCGCTATTTTCTTTCCCCTTTATTCTGGTTCCAACCTGACCCTTTTTCATACAGGCATGGGAGAGTAAAGCTACAGATGGAAAGAGCAAAGAAACTGCCAATGGAGAACGCAAACTTCAAACACCAACTGAAGTAATAGCTGAAGCACCCAAGGCAGTAAGTGCCCCATTGGTGAATGGGGACACCAAAGCTTCAGAAAGAGTGGCAAAATCAGGAGCTAATCAGGTTGTTACATCATCAGAAAGCAAGACTATTGCAAATTGTGTCTCAAATGGCTCCTAGCTCCAGTTTTTGTGCTCAAGCTTTTGATATGCTTCTTTCTTTGCCTGAGCTTTTATCTAGACGGGTAAGAGTGCAATTTGGTGGTAATTTAAAAAGGCATAAACAATTGTGACGCCAGTCTCTTTAAGTTCACAAGGAATTCTCCTGCTTATCAAAACATCTGCTAATCTCCTGCAGATTTCGTCATAGCTCTCTGAGGATCTAAAGGAGATATGAAGAAGGCTCAATGATTCTTCCTCCTGATAGGTTCTTTCTCTAGCAGCCTAGCTTCGAATGCATTATTTTCCATCCATCCATAAGTTTTCCTTCTTTTTTTTGTTTTCTGTTTTTTGTTTGGTTTTCGGTTTTGGTTTGTGCTGTTCTAATGTTTGGGCATCCTTGTAATTCCAGAACCTAGATGGGAAATTGGCGCGTACTGTTTGAACCCTTTCTAATCGCGACCTATATTTAAAGTCCCAAACCTTCTTACGTCATTTTTATTTTCCAGTTACTGATTTTTATTTTCTTTATACCACAAAAATTGAAATTTGAAATATGGAGTATGTCTTTTCGTGGTGAACCCTTTCTAATCGAGACCTATTACTATTACTATTACTATTACTACTAGTACATCACCTGTGCGATGCACGGAGAGATAAAATGAATCACAAATCATAAAGTTTAATTAATTCTAAATAGAACTACTAACATAAAGATGATTATTAAAAGTAGAATACATTCAATACCTACTATTATAATGAAGTAAAATAAACAACGTATATTAAACATTAATCATATATTCTCAAAAACCTACTTATAAACTACATTAATTGTAGTATTACATGGAGTATTATCAGAGTTACATATCATTATTTTTAATCCCTCGCGAGACCGTATCCTAGACATGACCACATACAGCTGTCCTTGGCTAAAAATGGGTTTTTTCAAGAATAAACCAACATGAGAGAAAGACTGTTCCTCACTTTTGTTTATGGTTATCGCATACGATACCATAACCGGAAATTGTCTTGTTTAAAACTTAAATGGGAATTTGGTATCTGATGGAGTCAATGAAACTCGCGGTATTAAAACCGTTTGTCCTGCATTTTTTCCATGAATCATCTTTGCTTCCAATAAACGGTTACCAACAAAAGAATCTATATATAAAAAAATTCATATAAATATGTGTATACTAAACAAAAAAATTACGAACCTTATATGCTGATATTACTACTATAAAGAGTTTCAGGATTTCTAGATGTTGAAAGGTCCAAACAATTCGCGAAGGAATTATATAGATTTCTCACAACACGATGTTTCCCCAATAAGTTATCTGTTTAATTAAAATTTAGAATATAAGTCTCACCCAAATAACCAAAGCTATTTTTAAAATAAATAACGCTGGTAGTAATGAAATATCTATCAACTATAGTATAAACGAAGTGCATAACGTAATAGCCAACCTCTAAACTTTTCACAATTATATAAAACCGGCACTTCAAGAAGATTAATCGTGGCAGTCTGTTGACATTCCTCTTTTGGCTGCTTTGAGTTCTTCTGTGGTGTAAGATGTGCCGTACAATCAACTAAATCAAAACAACATAAAATAAATTATATTTTAATATATTTTGAGACTGCATATTTTAAATAAACGAAGTTAGAAACATAAATAATATTCATACTTAGAATCTATACAATGAAAAATGAACTAACCGTTTGTTATGTCGCCCAAGGGATTCATTTGAACACGAGATGTTTGTGTTTGTGATAAACTTGATGGATTGCGAATCCGGGAAAAACATAATTGCGTGGTATCGTGAACATCAATATATGTTTGAATAATGATATTTAGTTTAAAAATCAACAAAAAAAATATCTAAATAAATTTATGTGTTTAAATTACAAAGAAATTGAAAAATATTATAACACTCTAAGTATTATAACACCCTAAATATTATAACAAAAAAAATTATCTACAAAAACTATTTGTGATTTAATTATAAAGAAATTGGAAAAAATTTTATCCACCTTCAACCCAATAAATATACCTGCCCAGCCCAAATTGCATCCAGCCCAGTCCAATATCTAACCTAATCCACCCTTAAAGTCCATATTTCTTCTCCCTCTCCCACAAATGAATATCTTCCGTATCCCTCTGTCTCATATTCTTATCTCGTTCCCCCAACAAATTCCTCTTTGTTCTGAACACTCGACGGAGTTAATCTCAAACGCAGATTACTCCTACGTTCTGGATCTTTCTTTTTGTATGTATCTTTTCTTGTTCTTGTGTTATTTTTTCCTAATTTGATTGGGTTATTCTTACATAAAACATGAAATCGAACCTCATCCATTTCTTCAGCAAAGAAGGATGATGTATTTTTCTTGATTACGATCGGGCGGTCTCCGATGATAGACCAATTTTAATTTTCAGATATTAATATTTTTCAGAAACATGATTCTTTCTATGTTTCGTTATTTTAAGATTCATTTTTTGTTATACCCTTGGTTGGCTCCACCAAAATCCCAACCCCTCCCAACATATCCAAAAGTCTTTTATCTTTTCTTTATCCAAAATAAAGCACTTGCCATCTATTTTAATCCCTGATCAATAATAAGAAACCAAAACCTTTTGTTTGTTGTTATTTCCCTTCTTTTAGTAAACAAATAAAAACCTTCTCTCCCTTCCTTTGAATCCCTGGCCAAATATCCCTCTCAATCCCAACACAACACCCACAAAGAGCCAAAACCATGACCCACCTCCAGCCCCTACTTCCTACCCATGTTCCCTCACAAATAACCCAAACCCATAAGTACAAAACCATCCCTAATATTACCCAGCCCTGTCCCCCTTTGTTTGCGAAACACAACACCCCATTTTGCCCAAATAATAGCCACAACACTCCCAAGAAACAACCACTACAAATCAAACCATAAAACCCCACAACACCAGCCCCACAAAGTACAACCTATCCCTGATTTTCTCCCCACCAAAGGGACAACAACAAGTGGAGGTCATGCTATTGATTTAGGAGAAGAAGATAGGAAGTTTCCTTATGTCTACATTCAATGTATTGTGTATTTCTTCCCCCTTCCCCTGCCTATATATAATCAGGCCATATGGCCATTGTAACACACAACCTTTGAATATTAAACTTTGTTACTCTTTGAGTATCTTAAAATAGTGTGATGCTATTTTAGCTAAATTCCTAGTTCTATATCTTAAGAGTGGTTATCTTAAGTGTGAGTTTTAGGTTCTAGATATTTGATTAAGTGTGCCATATCTTAACTAAATTCTAGATTCAAACCTCAAGTTAGGATAAGAGTGTGTAATATCTCTTAAGCACCAACTTGGTTTATCCATCCCTGTGTTTCTTCCATTCCATATCTCCCCATTTCTCCTCTTAATCTCATTTTTTTCTTCATTTATCAAAACCCAAAAAGAACTCCTTCACATTCCCATATTTTCATCCAGCCCATTTCCCCTTCATTATTCCACAACTCCATCTCCAAAAATAACAACTTGATAAGACCCCCGGTTCATCCCTAACATTTTTTCTTGTTGAGTTTCCTTCATTTTTGGGTTTCATACATTTTTTCAATGTTTTTTGTTAATTTCGAATCATGATTCTTTTATTTACAGATCCATGCATGTTTAAATTGATAATGAAACAACGAATACATGATTTCTTTTTTTTCATGCGTAACAGAGGAGGTCTTCCATGGAAGACCTGAGATACAGATGCTATTTTTTATAGGATTTTTTTTACAACATTGAAGGATTTTCGAAATGCTTTTAGGATTTCAATGAATTTTTGAAATTCTTCTCGCAGAGAGGGGGTTAAGGAAAGATATTTTATATTTTTTAATATTATTATTGGTAGTAACTTTCATAAATCTTTTTAAGCACAAAATATGTCTCCCAAAAAATCTGTTTTCCTGATTTTTTTTATTTCTATATTCTCTACTGCATTAAAATATATCAATTCATTCTACCTCTGAGAAATACCAATCACGAATTGAAGAGTCCTACATATGCATTGATATTTGAATTATTTAATTACATTAAATTGTTAATGTTAGCCGAGACTACCTTTATATATTTCAAACCTGTTTTTAAATAAGTTTTTTCCCAAAAAATATTTTCAATGAGTAGCATATCTGCATTTTATCTGTATTCTGATCACAATGGATCAAAGTTGTATAATGTACCATAAACAAAATGATTTTATTTTTTACAGGAGGAGTTTTCTTAAAACCAGTGAGTAAATTATGTAAGTTATTTCTCATACAGCTCATATATTCCATTTTGAGTATAATGTGTATAAAACAAAGGCATAGAATATTTTAAGAACTGAATTGTTATACTTGTTATTTCAGGTTTGATATTTTTTAAGGAAACTGCTTCTTTGTGCAAGTAAGTATATTTATGAATTACTGTTTTCATTAATTCGAAAATATTATCTAAACTAAGTATATAAACTAACAGTTGCTATTTCATGTTTCCCAGAAATATCTAATGCGATGAAGTTAGGGCAGGTAAGTAACTTCTACTTATTGATTCTATCACAATTTAAATTACTTCACATACATGTCTTGAATGAGAAACACAGTAAGGAAGGCATCCGATCTGTAATATGTTAATAGAAAGTATTAGAAAAGAAGTGTGCATACCTGTGTTTCTATGGAGTCTCTTTGTTTTGCCTCTGTCTTTACCATTGGACAATGAGCTCCTCATTTGATTGCCTAAATATAAATTTGCTTTTATGAATTTAGGATTTGGGATATAAGAAAGAAACATTATATATGCTTTTTTAATGAAACACCACTGATAGGTTATATATATATATATATATATTTAATGAAATAGACAGTTTGGGTGTCCACCACTTGTAATAAATTTTCAATATTTGGAAGTATATGTTAAGGAGTTTTTCTTTTATGAGACATACAAATGAGCAAGTCCAAATCATTATTTTGTCAAGTGTTCCCAGTAATTTAATACACTGAAACTCTTTGAAACTCAGGATAATGCACAATCCAGGATTAGACCACCATGACATGGTCTACTTTTAACACCTTTTTTTCTCCTTTTCATCTTGAAATGGGATTTGAATTGGTTTTACTCATAGAAATACATAGTGGTCTAATTATGCCAATGTCTAATCCTGAATTGGGTATTATCCTGAATACACATGTTGATCAAATTATGCCTTGAACTTCAAAATTTGTGAAAAATCTGGCATGGGTAGTGCCAGCTTCATTCTGGCGTGATGTTATGAAGTTGAGCCAGTGGAGAGGCTTTTCATTTGTATACTACTTGGCTGGGCTTAT